GTATATACGTACATCTCAAATCAGATCAAAGCCTATAATTCCAAAGGTTAACATTAGATTGTACTGTGTAAGAATAGCAATCCAGCTGCCATTAATTCTGCTTTATAAACAGCTGGGGTGGAACAATTTAAGCTAGTGAGCAAACAGAATTGTAGAGGAAAGGGAAAAAAACATGTAATTATAAAACAAAAAACAAATATGGGAACAACACAGCTTTGCCAACATTGTCTTTGCATCTAAAATATCTGCCTTCAGTTGGTTCACCATCCAGTTACCAACATTAAAAACTGCAATTCTTGGATTTGAAGCAAATTACAAATTTTCACAAAAAGAACCTATTCCATTTTTAACTTGAACGGTGTATTTTTTCAAGTAATACTTGCTTTGGAAACAAAGACAACTCTGAAGTAGTTACAGTTAAACTTCTGATCAAAACAGAGTAATAATCTTAGTAACCTAAAAAATATGTTAGCAATGAAAGATGCAGTAGTGAACCCCGCAGTACTGCTTACCTAGCTGCTCTCTCTTCTTTCAGTAGCTTAAGTCATGAAGATTACAAAGAATAAGCTTTTTGTTTGAAAAAGCCAACCAAACAAAAAAAATATTTGCAATACCATTCCCCAGTGAGTCTCACACAATAAGATTATCTATTTTTTTATTCCTCTAAGATCTACAAATAGATCTACAAATTCGTAGTCTTCACAAGCACAAACAATAATGTCATCAGGATAGAAGTCTTACAACAAATATGAAGCAGAAAAGGGTTTCTAAAAATCAATACCCAAAATTTTAAACAGCTTTTTAATTACTTTATAATAAATTTATTAATTTGAAATAATCCTAGTACCCAAATACTGTTTATTAAGATCAGGTTGTAAAACTTCTTGTGATCTTAAATGTTACGCTTGCCTCCACAATATTAAAACAGACTTTCTTTCAAAAAGAAGAAAGAATGGTGAGAGGTCAATGCCTAAAATTCTGTCCTCGTGAAGAGAAAACTCAAAGACTAAACTGACTGTTACAAAGGCTTTCTATTGGAAAAAGGAGTATTTTCTCAGTAAAACTTAATTTAAAACAGTAATGGGTAGACACATTTTTGGCCAGGCGCTATCCCGAAAGCAGAGTGAGAGCTGAACAAAATCAAATGTATTATATTAATTTAGTCTAGAGGGAAAGGAATGCTTCCCTGTTCAACAACTTCTCAAGTCCCTTGCCAATCCTAACATCCCCTGATGTTTTCATATTGCTTATGGTGCTTTTCTTTTGTGTAACCCAAAATCATGCAAAAGGGTGAGTAGGTAAGTGTCTGGAACTTAGTGGAATGCTGAAGAAGGTGGAAGTAGTAGTGCAACAGCAAAGTTAGTAGAGTACAAAAGGAATAACAAACAAAAAAGCAGGAATTATTCCATTCCCACAGAAACCATAATCAGACTCTTCATCTGCTAGTCTCCTAGACCTTATGAGACCACATACCCCTACCAGTATCAGTCTTACAGCAATTCTGCTTCCTGAGTCATTCTGAGTCTGCAAGCCACCTCACCACCCACTACTTGTTTTAGTCTGGGGCCTATAGAAGTCAAGGAGATCTCCCAGACAGTCTCATAAGATGCTTCAGTGGAAAACTGCTCACATGAAACTTTAAAGATATATGTGAAATGTGAAGTTCAGCACAGGAAATCATTTTAGAGGTGCACAGGGCCAGAGACACCTCCCAGTAAATCTCAGTCAGAAGAAGGGTAACAGACCCAAAATTTCCCTGATGTAGTTCTCCTCTTCCCATACACAACAATAATGTTAAAAGCAAAGATTAATTAAATAGATAAACAAATAAATTCACTACAGCAGTTGTGAAACAAAGCTCAGAAAACATGTTTAGTTCTTTGTAACCCAAAGTCTGGAACACCATACCTATTCCTACCCACAAGAAACACTTCCAAGGTCCAGTTCTGAAAGTGCCATTTTAAACAGCTATGTTCACTCACACTTTCTCACATCTGCTCTTGCATTCTGTCCAATTCACAAATGTTTTATCAGTGCAGCTATAAAATCAGGAAAGTGTTTATGTCCCTCTTACTCCCCACTAGCACTGTACAGTACAGCGTATTTTCCCGAATTACATGTTGTGATCATCACTGTTTAGCTGCACAGCAGTTCTGCTAGATCTGAACTGCATCCAGGAACTCATGCTCTCTCCCCAGGGTGTAATGAAAGCTCCAAAGAAGACAATACATGATACGGATGTGCAGAGTCCATCACAAAAAAAAATTGTAGCTTTAGTAACCTTTCCTCCCTCTAGTGGTTTCTGCACATTCCCACTTGTAGGATATATTACCCTTCAGTATTAATGTAAAAGACAAAAAAACCCCACCTTAATTAAAAAGCAATTTGAGGACTGCTCTGCCAAATGAAGCATTAGACTCAGCCACTAGGTTGTAAAAATATGAATGTAATCACATGTGGCCACTTTATGTACTTTATTCCATAACTGGAATGTGTCTGAGTGTGCTGTGTAAAATCAGTCCTTACCACTTAAAAGGGAAGCTGAGGATGTATAGTTTTATAGAATACAGCATCTAGTCCATCTGAATGATGTCTTGCAATAGACAATCTTACCTCTTCTCTTTAAAGCAAAAAGAAAGTCTGGATTTTTGAATACCATTCTCTAACGAAAGTGTATTAGTGCTCTAATATGGAAAAGCACAGATTTTCTCTATTTCTGCAGTACCTAAAGAAGTACAAAGGTACATTCACCAATAATAACATCCCCTGACCATTTTCATTAAAGATTTAAGATGAGAACATAGTACTACTTCATCTGTGTGAATTACTCTGAATAGTGCTAAGTGCTTGCAACTCATGCTTGCAAATTGTTTCAAGACTTTCATGAGCTTTTCTCATCAATTTCAACAGCCTTCAATAATACTGAAAAAAAAAATTTAAATGCAAAAAGAGGTTCCTGCAGCCTTAATGAGAGGACGAAAAGCTAAAGTCATGTAGGAACATTTTAAATGTGTCTCGCAAACAAATTTGTTATTAATCAAAGTATATAAAGCCTATTTTAATAGGAAATAGACTTAAAAGGGAAGATTAACTGAGCTATTTAGCATATATATATATTCTGGCATTCTGAGTGATACAATAGGTAAAATGTTATTATTGTTTACCCAGATATAGGACATCTTTAAGTGTACAATTTTCTATGGGATTTTCATTAGTATGTTCTTGATTTCCATGAAATAAATGTCTCAAACATTTCAGAAACTATTTTTGTAATTTTAAATCTCTGGGGAAAATAAAAGAATCCAATCCATATTAAAATCATGGACAACACTGCAGACACAAACTTGTTGCAGATCCTGAAAGAATTTCAACAGCGTCCCAGGCAGCTGGTTCAGTTCCCAAAGAACACCTGGGAGCAACATCCATAATGCATCTGCACCGGGTGGCTTTCTCCTTGGTCCATCAGCAAAGAGATCATGAAGCATGTATTCATCAGGGTAGCAGACAGAATTGATTGTTATGTGTTTTGCATGGCCAATGTTTACACATTAAGAGTTTCTGCTTGGATTACTTCTATTTGGTTTCTGAAGTGTTAATCAACTTGTATTTAAGATCACTTGAAATATAATACATTATTGTGGGTCTGGAAAACATTGCTGCCTGTAGCAGTCACTTCATCTTAAAAATACACCAGTGTATTTCAGCACAAAAAGCATACAAAAGAACATATGTGAGAACTGTTGGCTTCGCAGTTCAAGAAAAGCAATGAAAAATAATTTCTCCTTCCACACCAAAACCAAAACGTTCTAAAGTTCCGCATTCTAATACGCAAAAAATGCCTGAGTGTCACACCAATGCGAAGAGTTTATTACAGTATGAAACAACTAATGAATCTCTGCTCTCATCCACCTGAGCAGCAGTTCGATATTTTTAATCAGGTGAACAAACAACATTTCAAAACCAGGTATGGATAGCACAATGGACGCTTCAATCATATAAGCAATACTTCCACATGGAAGGACAACGCTTCTTGAAGACTAATTTGGAGTATAAGGTTCTGTCTCTCCCTGGAGTCAGCACACATTTCAGATACAACACTGCTACTACCTCTTTTAGTGTAGGACCAGTGACCTACACTTCACTAGAATCCCAGTTATCAACAACAGACTCCCATGAGATTAGTTCCATCAGCAGCAAACTATGTATGTGACAAAGGGAACAGTATGTCATTATGTTGGATTCTCCTCCCATACTTTATTTTTTATATATCTTCTCTATTTGGTTTATAGAAGCCTAACAGTAGACAAAACAAGTAGATAAAGCAGTAATTTGGAATTAATTTGGAATTAATTAATTTGGAAGAAAATTTTAATTACAGCTTACTGGCAGAATGTTAGATTTGCAGCCTAATACTGAACACTATAACCATCACTAACGACTATCCTTTGATAGAGAGGTATTGAGAGGTTTGCTGGAGTTAAGTTTTATTATAGAATTGTCTTATTCAGTTAAAGTTAAAAGTGTATAACACGAGTTTTTGACTAATAATTAGAGTACATCTCTATAAAAATAGGTATCATTAAAATAATAACATTTGCAAGCCAGCCTTCTATAAAAATGAACCAGGCTGAAGATCCAGACTGTTTCCATTTTTTTGCTGCTGGAGGTCAGAAGGAACTGAAGTTACTAGAATGTCATGTCTCCTTTTATTGCAATGCCACTGCAACATTTGGAAACAATGAAGAGACAAGAAGAAATGTGAGAAAGCTCTAACAGACAACACTTCCAGCGGTACAGTTCCAGAGCTGCACTCAATTAAACAGGAATATACAAAGCCCCCGCAAAGGAGAGAGAACCGTATTACTTTCTTCATCTGAAACTTTATGACATAATACATGTTTCAATTTTAGTATGCAAATATCACAGTGTAAAAATATCATAGAATGTTGGGTTTGGGGTTTGTTTGGTTTTCGGAATCAGTATCAACATATTCTTCTTACCTTTTTATCTTCTTTAGACTTCCGAATGCTGTGCGGAGGGCCAAATTTGTTCTGTATGCAAAACATCTTCTTAGACCATTCATTTTTATGAGATTTTAACTGTGGCTGACCAAAGCTGCCATCGACTCTGTATCTGTCAGCTGGAATCTTACTCATTGGCGGGGGAAGAGTTCCACAGTTAACACTCGACCAGCCATCCGTAGAATCAGTGTATGACTCCTGGTCACTTGCATTCCCATGCTGCCATTCCTGTAAAACGTGCACAGGCAACCACCTTTGATTGCCCATGCCAGCAGTGTTTTTCTTTGATGGGGGTACTGAATTTCGGGAGGAAACCAGTGGAACTTCAATACGAGCAGAAGGACTTAAGTGTTTGCTTACATTTTGGGACTTATCATTCTGCATTACTTCTAACGGAATGTTTCCTTCTTGTTCATGACAGAAGCCATTCCAATGGGAAGCAGGCTGATTTTGTCCCCTTCCTACCGGATTTTCCCACATGCTGTTAGGAATGTGCTTACTCAGATTGCTTCCTAAATCAACCACCAGAACTCTGTTATTCTTTTCTTCTTGGTTAAAATTTCCAATTCCACTATCACTGTTGCTGCTTGTGCTATTGTTTTGATGAGCATCTGCATCACCATCAAGAAAAGCCCTCGCACGCATTCCCTCAATCAATTCCCCCATATCCCTGTACAGGACAGAAATAAACTGAAGAACAGGTAGAGATGATGTTGGAAACTCCAGACAGCCATTTGTGTCTGGATCTGCTGTACATTCCAGTCCAAAACGTCTCGCTATGCCCTGGTGAATTTTATGATGAAATAATTCGGGATCCACCATAAAAACATGACAAGATGTCCTCAGCACCCCTTCATCTTCCTGAGCCAAGCTTGCATCATCATTTGTCTGCATCGTAACTAGTCCAAAGAACCTTCTATCATCTGGGCAAACAGCACTGAACGCTAGTTTCTCTGCAGGGTATTCTGCCAGAATACCTGATTTGTCACTGCAGAGCTGAATACAGTCATGCATTATTTTCATCATCACCAGTGAATGGATTTTTTGTTCTGCCCGCAGACGTCTCATGCACCCACGAATAGCCTGCAAACTCTCATTTTCCAAATTCAAGGTTGTTGAAGGAAGTTCAATTGAGCCTAGGTAACCTACAATCATGGCAACGTTTAAAATGCTTGCATCTAATCCAAAATCTTCTGCGCTCTCCAGTCCGATTCTAAAAACTGAATCATCATTCAGGGCTTTGGATATTTCTGCCTTTGACAGTAGGTTTGGATTGCTTACACTTTCATGGCGAGCATCAAATTTGATAGCAGCAGAAGCCGAAAACGATCTTTGCTTTGGTCCAGAATTATCCGAGTTACCAGCAGAAAGAGTAGGATTTTCAAAGATCATGTTGAAAATGCCACCAGACTGCATTTCTTCAACAACTTTCTCTGCTCTATTTATACCCAGAGCTTTAGAGTCAGGTTTGGGTTTCAGCCACCCCTTCCCATCATAAAAACCAACTTCTTCATCACTTGAACATGAATCTATGTGACTCATCCCTTCAGCAATAACCATGTGCAGGACTCCAGAACATTTTCCTATAAGTTTCACTACATCTTCATGAGAGGCTTTTTTCACATTGATTTCATTAACTGCAAATATCTGATCTCCTGCTTTAAGTCCAACATAATCTGCAGGGCTTCCTTTCATAACACAACTAAGAACACAAGGAGCTTGTCCGGAAAGGGTAAACCCATAACCTGCTCTTCCTCTAGCAACTTCCACACTTCTTATCCGAGGAGGAGCATGCATGTTGAGTCGACGTTTGACCGTTTCCCCTGGTCTATACATTTTGGTTATTTTTCTAAATAAAGGAAAACCTTCAATTAGCCCATTTTCTTGTCATGTTGCAAGACCTGTTCATCTGATGGAGCTCTAAAGAAAGAAAGAAAAAAAGAAAAAAAAGATATTTTAATTCTCAATCATATTTCAGGGTTTTTAGTACCCAGTTTCCCTTTACTGTTCAGAAATATTGCTAGTCAACTATACCAAAAACTATTTGCTAGAGAATTAACACAACACTCAAAACAATTTGAAAAGAACATGTACCACAGTCTTAATTTTATTGATGAGAAAGCAATAGCAAATGCAAATAAAGTGTCTGTCCAAAATGACAGAGCAACTGAATGGCAAAGCATCAAAAATAGAATCTAAGTCTTCTGACGTACAGCCGGTGTCTTTATACTACAGTATGTTACACCTTCTCCAACTCCACCACGTTACCTTCTATTCAGTTAACTTCTGGCTTACAGCATCACTGAAATACTACCACATTTTGCAGCACAGCTCATCTATCCTTTCTCAGTAACATAATAATTAGAGCCCAACTGTATCTACTCCACTGTAGCCCACCCCCCTTTATACTCAATGTACAGAAACAGGTACCAAATGTAGACATGTAAAACAGGCTAGAGAAATTACTCATAGAGTTGCCTGTATGACTCCACTGACCAACTATAAAGGCAGCTTAAAATGAGTATCTCAAACTTCAACTTTGCACATATGTTTCAGTTACGTATGCAACAATAAATGGGCATTCAGTCATGTATTTGACCAAAGGGATCCAAAATCATATCTACTCTTAAACCAAGCAATTAATCTACTCAAAAATAATTTGTCAGAAAGTAAACGCTGTAGAAAATGCATTTCAGTCATTCCAACATCCATGTGGTTTAGTTTAGATAAAATAAAATAAATAACGTAAAATAAAATAAAATAAAATAGGAAAAAAGGAGGGAACTCCACATGCTGCTGGTATTAATCTAGTCATGAATTTACAATTAAGATAAAGCAGCTTTATATAAACAGCAAGAAACAGTAGATTTCATGACATTTTGGTGTTGATTCTGAATCTGGATGTTTTGTTCTAATTATACTCGGGTAAATTCCATTGTTTCAGAGAGGTTTCCTCCACTAAGCAAGTTAAAATGCATAAAAATGTTTTAACACAAGGAAGAGAAATGGTAACTTGTTCAACTTTTGAAACTATTCCCTTGTGGCATGATATGAACTCTTACTTCCACAGGTCTGAAGGAAGACTGACTGAAATAACCAGAGGACTACAGCTACATGAAACCGCAATAAACTCAGTCTGAGCAAGCGAGAACTAATCTGAAAGTAATTACTGCCCTGAGCTGGTCCCCTGGCTTACTTATAACTCTGTCCCACCTGTAACATACTTAAAGTGTACAAGGTACTTGAGAGCAAGTATCTGGTGTATGTGGGCAAAACACGGGCAACATTTTAGATAAATTGATACACACACAAATATACACACACAGACAGATACACCGTTTATTGTGTCTAAAGTGTTAAATTAGTGGCATCCAACACAGTACTTGCATGGAAGAAAAATGACCAAGAAATCTTTCTGACATTGGTCTCAGCTATAGAAATAACAAATAAACCCCACACTCAAAATGTGCTGCAATCCACAGCACACTACTTTCACATAATTCTGCCTAGGACAGAACAGAAGTTCCACACAACAAAAACACCTAAAATACAATTTAAGATTGTCTTAACTACTTTACACTATATGAACTGTTTGATTACCAGATATCTTGAATATTCTCCTAAATACTCAATTACAGGATGCAATTCCCTTAGGACCCTTCTAAATCCTAAACAGGACAGTCTTCAAGATACTGGAATATATTCATTCGGCTTTACTCTGGGGTTTTAATTTGTATTTTTGCTGAACAAAGAGACATCAGGTTTTTATGTCTCCATGGTGCAGCTGTGACTGTTCAATATAGCATGGTTTTTGCAAATTGTTTTAATATAGCAATTATCCAGCTTCAATAACAACAGTTCCCCTATAATTTGAGGGGAAAAAAAAAAAAACAAACAACTTAGCTTTAAGAAGTAACGAAACTTCACACTTAACCTTTGAATGGAAATCATAACATAAGAAATGCTTTGCAAACATTTAACCAAACTCACATGTTGCTGTATAAGACCCCTGCCAACTTGCATCCAGTCTCATGCCTTAAACATAGATTGACCTTTTCCTGATGAGGCTGAACTTGTGAACCAAGGGATCACTGTGCATTCAGCTATCTCAAATTAGGTATGGAACCTTCTGAGAACAAGCATTTCAAACATTTCAAGATACAGTTCTCCAGCCAAAAAAAAGAAAAAACAAATGTCCAACAATGAAAGTCCTCTATCTATGAGCATAAATATATACATGGTTCAGTCTGCCTTACAGTGAATATTCCTGTTCTTGATTGTCTGGAGAATAGCCCAATGTGTCCCTTGGGTACCCTCCAAAACTATGCTGCTAACGCGGTCAACATAACGACATGCAGTATTTGGTACCTGAAAGTGTGCTACTAGCTTGCGAGACAAAAGGAAACAATTAGGAGTATTAAATTATAAATAATCTGATTTTAAAAAATATAATAAAAAGCTGTCACTAAAAAAAATAACATTAAATATTATAATTTTGAAGTGGTTCATAAGAAGGACCTATTTTTCAGCTACCTTTCTAATCTATAACAAAAATAACCTAAATGTGACTATAAAAAAAAACACAATGAAAATGTAGTTAGACTGCTCTTGCGAAGAAGCAAACCCCAGCACTGTCTTACCTCATGATTCCATATTTGCTATGAGAGGGTTCCTTTTAACTCTATTCATAAGTCAATTTATCTATTTGCCTTCGTAACGTACGGTCCTTACACAACAAGCATTATTCCACATGATAACCACTGATAAAGGAACGTCATATGGAAACCTGACAGTTATGAAACCGAAACAGCAGCTACTAATACATTACTTTTCTCAAACGTGAGTTCTAGAGATGTGAAGACTTCCAGATATATTAATGTATTTGTGGGATTTTGTGGCTGAGTTAGGAAGTAATGCAACATCAAAAGTTTTTTTGCTATTAACGTGTATTTACAGTAAGAATAAAGAAAGAAAAAAATGTTTTATCACTGGAATAGCCATTTCTTCCCTCTCTCGCTTGCAGAATGTTCTTGTGCAATTTTTGTGCCAATTACATCCATGACAAATAACAGCTCACTAGAATTATCTAGGAAACTTTAAGACAAAGGACAACTGCAGCTCCTCTGCAAGAACACCCAGCATTCAAATACATGTTACTGCAACAGCAGCACATCAGGCAAATGCAAAAATTACAAAAATAGGATTTCTCGTAACCAGAGAGGTTCCAACAGAAACTAGCTGAGTGACAAACTGTCAAAAAAACCCCATCTAATTATCTGATTGCCTAAGTTTTCTTTTAATTGCTTTGAAGATTCGAAACCTGGAGCTAAAGAGATATGGCTCAAAAATGGCACAAACCTCCAGTTTCAAAGTAACACATGACTGAATGTCCTTTTCCTGTAATAAATTACAAAATGCGCACTGCATCCAGTGAAACAAAGACATCATTTAGTTGCACTGATATAAAGCTTTGTAGGTGTCTGCATGTTTACTAATCCATGAAATTGTCTATAACCTGCAATAAGTGTCACAAGTAACCAAAGGCAAAATTGAGCTGTTGATTATCAGTTCAAAATACTGACTCTTACTGAGCCTACCAATAATATACTATTGTAATTACTCCTAATAATCACAGTACTGAATTCCATTAATTTGATAGCATAACTATATTCAGTGACATACAGTAGGTCACAGAAAAGGTTACATCACAATACTACACATGGCCAAGCTTACTTTGACTTTTGCTAATAGCAGCTTTGACTGCTATTGCTAAGTACGATAAAGTTAATCCTAAAGAAAAAAGTCTGTACAATACCAGAACATGTTAGTGAATATTAGTAGGGAGGATATGTGCATTTAATAGGAGAAAACAGGCCTATAAAGGCAGAATAATTTGTAATACATAGTAACTAAATTTTAAGCAAATAACACAGTTTTGTGACATTTCAATATATTTATTACAAACGCGGAAAATATGGAAATCCTACTATCATTTGAAGAACTCTGCAAATATAAAATACTATGGTTTCAGAAAGTTCATCAAAATTTGATTCAACACAGCTTAGTAATATCACACGGAACAAACAGTTTAATACTACAAAATATTTCAAAGTTATTTCAGACAGAAGCACTAACATCTACAAATTAAGATTTGTTCAAATATGTGAAATAACATAATTTGCCCCTATACGTCAGCTTTGTCACAAAACTGCAAAACAAACATTTCAGTTTCCAGCCAGCATTCATTCTGGTCTAACATTTCAATCAATTGTTTTGTATAAAACACCAAAAATACCAGTTACATTTGAACTGTACATTATCCCACAAACACTGCATCTCTTTATGTAGTATTTTTACATACTCATGCTAGCTTTTCATGTCATTTTCAAACCCTCTACTCCTAGAAAAATAATACTTATTTGCTTACTTTCAATGAGAGAGGTGGTTTGTTTCCTGCTTCTGCTCTTGTTAACTCATAGCAACAAAACTAACAGACGCAGGAGGAGACATGCTCCTGTGTTAGACTCCAACCTTAACAGTTACAGAGGTCAGTGAGGGAGTATGCAAAGTCAAAGTACACGTTAGTGACCCCCAGTTCATTTTGAAAAGCCTTTGGAAAAGAGCTGATACTCAGCACTACAAGATCCATGTTAATGTGCTTCACTTTAGTTTTCAACAGTGAGACTGTAAGAGGATAAAGCATGCAAAGTGGAAGCACACAGAGACTGTTCCCTCATCCCTCACATACATCTTAAAGTATTGCAGCATGGGTGCCACTCATTAAGGACTGACTTTTGCAAATGCTGCCACTACAAAGCTCAAATGAAGCTATAAAA